GGAACCAGAGGACACCCAGTGCGTTCTTTGCTGGCGCTGGCGTGTTTCTCCTCCCGTTTTGGAAGCGGGAATCGTTTCGGTGTGGTTATGAAAGAGGGGGAAGGAATCCCTTGAGCCAGGTGGGTCAGAGCCCACCGGCTCAACTTACTTTCCCAAAGCTCCACAGCCCCTCTGTGCTGTCTCCCCACTGCGCTCCCTTGGATCTCTGAGCTCTGGCTTTGCTTTTTTTTTTGCCTCGGTTTTAAGTCAATTCCACAGGAATCCCATAATAACGGTGCCCGTCTCCGGCATGAGTCAGTCCCGAGGGAGCGATCGGTTTGCAGGCAGGAGTCCCACCAGCGTTCCTGGCCCCGGCAGAGCTCACAAGACAGCTGTTTTCCTCTTGTTTTGTCATGTGGCAGCGGGACGGGGCTCTGGAGCTCCAGCAGGACGAAACATGAGTTATAGCATCTCTCCCAGGGCTGACAAAGCCATCCCAGCTCTGCCCGGAGCGCGGCGTCACCCGGGTACATTCCAGGGAGGAAGCCTGGGCTGAGGACTTCTTGCCCAGGTGGAAAAAACTCCTGAATCTGCGTAAATGGGGAGAATACAAAATCAGTAGTTGGATCCCGGGTGGCGCAGCAGCACCGGCACCGGAGCGGGATCCCCATCCCTGTCCCCATCCCTGTTCCCACAGAGCTGCCTCAGCAGGCAGCAGCTCCTGGCCGCCATCCGGCAGATGCAGCAGCTGCTGAAGGGGCAGGAGACGCGTTTTTCCGAGGGGCTCCGTGTCATGAGGAGCCGGCTCAGCTCCCTCCACTCCACCCTGGCCAAGGCAGCTCCAGAGGCACCCACCGGTGAGTCCTTCCCGGCCTCCCACGGCCTCAGAGCAGCCGGGGTGGGCACGGGCAGCTCGGGATGCTCAGGGCCGGGACAGGTGGAAGTCTGGGTGAGGAGACACCGGGATTCAGGTTGGCAATTCCTGCTGTAAATTGGAGAGCTTCTCCGGCCTGGGGAGGGTGAAAAGGGTGAGAAGCCCTCACTGGCAAAGCCAAGAGCTCCTGGCAAAGCACAGGAGCAGGCTGGAAAACTGGTGTCTCCAGCAAAAAGGCCACAGTTTGGTGCTGGGAGCGTGGGGGGACACAAAAATGTCACCAATTCCCTGCCAGCCCCAACATCCCCGCCAGGCGCTCCTTGCGGGGCTGGATGTTGTCAGCGGGACAATATTCCAGGAAAACAACACGTAAAGGGAGGCTTGGAGGGACTGGGTGAGCTCAGGAGAGTTGGGGATGGGAAGGATAAGGCCCCTCCCAAGCTGACCCCTCTCCCTGTGGTCTCGCAGTCTCCTGTCCTGCCCTCCAAGCCCCCACGGATGGGAGGAAGTTCGGCACCAAGTACTTGGTGGAGCACGAGGTTCACTTCACCTGCGACCCGGGTTTCCAGCTCCTGGGCTCCAGCACACGGATGTGCCAGGCCAATGGCACCTGGAGTGGGCAGGAGCCCCGCTGTGAAGGTACTGCTCCTTCCCTGCCTGGGAACGGCGCTTGGAAGAGCAGGATGTACCGTGGCCTTATTTGAGTATGGGGAGCTTTGGGGGCTCACCAAACGGGGAGGGATTGCAGCTGCCTCCCAACATCCCCAGGGATGCTGCTCAAGGAAAACTGGGAATTACAGGTGGAGCCTCCCCAGCGGTTCAGCAGCAGAGATGAGGGGGGAAAAAGCATCGGGGCGCTGCGGGGTCTGGAGCATTCCCAAAGGAAGGTAACGTGGAATGCGGCTGCTTTTCCCGCAGAGATCAGCGAGTGCTGGAGCAGCCCCTGCCAGAACGGCGGGACGTGCCTGGAGGGGCTCAACCAGTTCAGGTGCCTCTGCCCCCAGCAGTGGACTGGGGCCACCTGCCAGCACCGGGCACAGACGGGTGGGTGACCCTCCCCAGGGGGGTGAGCTGGGGGTGCTCCGTGCCCCTTCCTCACCCCGGCGTGTCCCCCCCAGCTCCTCCCGCCTGGAGCGTGACGGACGATCCCGCGTTCAGCCGCCAGCCCCGCTGTGCCCAGGTGGCCCAGGCCCAGCAGTGCAGCTGCGATCCCGGCTTCCACATGAACGGAACGGCCGCCAACGGGCTCTGCCAGGGTGAGCCACGCTGGGAACCGGGACACGGGCGGGGCACGCGGGGCCCTCGCGGAGTCACGGGGCGGGTTGGAAGGACCACAGCGGGTGAGCATGTGGCACAGGGTTGTGTCCAGGTGGCTCTGGAACGTCTCCAGGGAGGGAGCCTCCGTGCCCTCCCTGGGCATTGTGCTCCAGTGTTCAGGTGGAGCTTCCTGGGCATCAGTTCCTGCCCATTCCCTCTTGTCCTGTTGCTGGGCCCCCCTGGTCCAGCCTCTGACGCTTCCCTCTGGATAATGATAAAGATGGATAAGGTCCCCTCTCAGCTTCTTCCTGAGGCTGAACAGCCCCAGCTCCCTCATCTCTTGTAGGAGATGCTCCAGTCCTTTCCTCATGTCCTCTGGACCTGCTCCAGGAGCTCCATGTCCTTGTCCTGAGGAGCCCAGACCTGGACCAGGCACTGCAGATGTGCCTCAGAGGGCTGAGCAGAGGGGAAGGATCCCCTCCCTGACCCACTGCCAATGCTCTTCCCAGTGCATCCCAGGACCCCACTGGCCTTCCTGGCTCCCAGGGCACACTGCTGGGCACAGACAGCTTGGTCCTTCTCCATGGAGCTGCTTACCAGCCTGTGCTGGTGCCTGGGGTTGTTGCTCCCCAGGTGCAGGACCTGCATTTGCTGCTATGGAATTCCAGACAGTTCCTCTCCAGTCTGCCCATGTCCTTCCAAAGGGCTGCACAGCACCCCGGGAGATCAGCCACTATTCCCAGTTTTGCGTTGGCAGGGACCTCGCTGAGGAGGCTCCAACCCCTTCATCCAAGTCCTGGATGGATGAGTTAAAACTGGGCTCAGTATCAACCCTTGGGGGACTCTGTGCTGCTGATCCCAATCCCCTGGGATCTGCCACCGCCCAGTTCCCAACCCGCCTCGCCGCCCACTCTTCCCGAGTTTTCCCAGCAGGATGCTGTGGGATCCTGGCTGAATCCCTGTTCTCCGCAGACCTCAACGAGTGCGAGGTGTTCCAGCGGGACGGGGGTCCCCGGCTCTGTGCCCATTCCTGCGTCAACCTTCCCGGCTCCTTCCGCTGCTCCTGCCCCTCCGGATACGTCCTCCTGGGAGACGGCAAGAGCTGCGAAGGTGAGGGAGGGCTGGAATCCACGTGTTCCCAAGGGATTTTTCACTTCCCCCTCCCCTTTCTCTCCATTTCCACAGGCAGAAATCCGAGGGGGTTGGCACAGAGGGGAGGGTGAGGATGGAGCAACGTTTTTGGGGATGGAGGCGGATGGAGGATGTTTGGGTTGGCGGGAGCTCTGGCTGGATGGGGAGCTGGGCAGGGAAATGCATCCCGGGGTTGTGCTGGGGGAGGGAGTGAAGGGAAATCTCCACCTGAGGGCTTCAAAGAGCCCCCAAAATTAAAAGAAAATGCTTTTCTGGAAGCTCCTTTCTCTCCTTTTCATTTTCCTTTTTCTCTCTCCCTTCTCCCCTTTCTCCTTCCCCTCCTGGCGGGGTGGGGGGGAAGATGATGGAGTGATGCTTTGGGGCTGCACCTCCCTGAAAATGGGGATGCCTCCAAAACAGGGAATCCCTGGGAAGAACCAGAAATAATATTAGAACCCCAGAATTCCACAGGAGGGCACCAGCTCGGAGGGCAGTGTCCTCTCCCCCAGTCCCAGGGAAGTTGGGAAGCGGGTGGGAACGGTGGGAGGCCAGCCCTGCTAAAAGGTTCCTCCTGAAAAACAGGGAAATTTTCTGCTGGAATGTGTTGATTGCTGCAATTCAGGGTGAGAAAATCCCGATTTCCCCTTTTCTCCCTGATTTCCACGTGTTCAGTGGCATCTTGTCATTGCTCCCAGCAAACCCTTTGCATTCCAGCTCCTCCAGGTGTCCCACGGGTGTTTAGTAAATAAAAGGGGATGGTGTGTCCAAACAACTGAGCAGAAAGTTTGGAAAAGCAGCTGCCCTCCTGCTGCCATTAACCCTTGCTGGCCCAGGGCAGAGCCTGGGGAGAGGAGATGGGATTTTGGGATGCTCCCAGCCATACTCCCATATTTTCTGAGTCCCATTTGACCCATTTCAAGGTGGTTTTGCCCATTTTCCACCGGAATGCACCTAAAAGCGAGGTTGCTTGAAGTCTCCCAGGGTCCTGACCTGCTGCCTGCCCCTGTTTTCCAGACATCGACGAGTGTTCCCTCTCCCAGGATAACTGCACGGGCGGGAGCACCTGCATCAACACCGGGGGGGGATTCCAGTGCGTCACCCCCCAGTGCCCCCCGGCCGTCGGGAACGTCTCCTACGTCAAAACCTCCCCCTTGTAAGTGTGGTTCGGCACAAAACCCATGGCACGGCATCCCTATGGATGCAACACCGAGGCAGGTGTGGGGCACGGGGATCCCGCGTCCCCAAAAACCTCCTCCCTCGCTTTTCCCCTCTGCAGCCAGTGCGAGCGCAACCCCTGCCCGATGGAGAGCCGGTCGTGCCACCACGCTCCCAAAACCATCTCCTTCCACTCCCTGCCGCTGCCCTCCCGGCTCGTGGCTCCCACGCCGCTGTTCCGCATGGCCACGGCGGCGGCTCCCGGCCGGCCGGGCCCCGACAGCCTCCGCTTCGGGATCGCGGGCGGGAACAGCCGCGGGCACTTCGTGGTGCAGCGCTCGGACCGGCACACCGGGGAGCTCATCCTGGTGCAGAGCCTGCAGGGCCCCCAGACCGTCCAGGTGGACGTGGACATGTCCGAGTACCTGGACCGGGTCTTCCAGGCCAAGTACTTGTCCAAAATCACCCTCTTTGTCTCCGCCTATGAGTTTTAGGGGAGGCGGCGGCGGCGCTGGCGGCTCCCGGGCCCCCGCTCAGCGTCCTGTCCTGAGGTGCTTCCCAGGTGGATTGACACCTGCCTGTGTGCAGGAGGAAAACCCAAATGAGGTGGAAAAGAAGCGGGAAGTGGGGCTCCATCCTCACCCCCAGCTCAGGAGGGATGATGTCCTACAGCCACCTGATTTCCTTAGGATTCCTGCTTTTTCCTTTAGGAAGGCAGTGAAGCAGAGCATGTGGGAGGAGGAAGGCTCCTGGCCTTTCCCGCTCTCCTCCCTGCTGGCCTGGGATTGCTTGGACCCCGGCTCCCTAAAAACATGCCTCTGCTTCCCTTTGGATGCTTAGAATCTCCCTGGAGCCTGCTGGGGATTGAGGTCCATGACCTTTATCCCCTGGGATTGATCAGGGCTGGAAAAGTCCATGAACATCCACCTGGCTGGCTCCTGGTGCCCTCCTTGGCAAGCTGGGCAAAGGAGGAATCCCAGCGCTATCCCTGCTCCTTAAACCTCCCCAGTGGGAATCCCCTATGGATCTCCCTCGCCGTGACCTCCCGGCTGCGTGTGGAGGTGGGAATATTCCCTGCTCCACCAGCCACAGCTTCCATCCTGGTGTAGGAGCGCTGGGAAGAGCTGGGATTCGGCTCTTCCCGGGGGGATTCATCCCTCTGCTTGTGCATGTTCTCCTGACATTCTGCATGTTCCCACATTCCGCTGGATTTAGCACAATTAAAGAATGATATAAAGGATGGCACCAGAGTGAAGCAACCAATGGATGTGTGGATGGTGGGAATGCTCATCTGGAGCCATCCAGGAGAGCTCTGGGTCTGGTGGAGCAAGAATCTGTTATCCAGAGTTTTACTTTCCTGCCTTACATTGCTTGGGAGGTGGCTCATTACCCCTGGAGCATCCTCATCCTGAGCATCCCCATCCTTGAGCATCCTTCCCCCCAAGGAAACTTCACCCTGAGCATCCTTTCCCCCGGGAATCCTCATCCCTGAGCATCCTTTTCCCCCCCAGAATCCTCACCCTGGAACACCCTCATCCCTAGGAATCCTCACCCCTGAGCATCCTGCTGAGCTGCACCCACCAAAACCCTTCCCAGTCCTTGCCCCACAGAGGGAGATTTCCCAAGATGGATCTCTGCATCCTTTGGGGGATTGAGCTCCCAGATTTTTTTGGGGGTACAGCCTTTCCAGGGGAGCTTGGGATGGGTTGGATCTCTCCAGGCAGAACAAGGAGGGACATTCAGGGCTGCTGCCAGCGGATGGAGGATGTTTGGCTTGGCGGGAGCTCCGGATGGATGTGGAGTCGGGCAGGGAAATGCATCCCAGGGTTGTGCGAGGGGAGGGAAGGGAAAACTTCCTTAAAAAGCCCCAAAATAATAATAATAAAAAAAGGCTTTTCTGGGAGCACGACTGCTCTCCTTCTCCTTCTCCTTCTCCTTCTCCTTCTCCTTCTCCTTCTCCTTCTCCTTCTCCTTCTCCTTCTCCTTCTCCTTCT